TTGCAGTGAGCCAAGATCGTATCACTGCACTCCAGCCTGGCGCCTGGTGATGGAGAGAGACTCTGTCTCAAAAAAAGAAAAAAAGACAAAAATAATCTATTCAAATATTTGGGTTTTTTAATTTTTTATCCCACTTACTGGTATTCAATAAAAGTTGTGCATTTTATTTTTATTTATTTATTGAGACTAAGCCTCACTTGTGTCACTCACAATCTTGGCTCATTGCAACCTCCACCTCCCAGGTGCAAGTGATTCTCCTGCCTCAGCCTCCCAAGTAACCAGGACTACAGGCGCCCACCACTAACCTGGCTAATTTTTGCATTTTTAGTAGAGATGGAGTTTCACCACATTGGCCAGTCTTTTCTTAAACTCCCGACCTAGTGATTCACCACCTCAGCCTCCCAAAGTGCTGGGATTACAGACATGAGCCACCATGCCCAGCTAGGCTGTCTAATTGTGCTGTCTTCCTACTGTTGAGTAGTAAGAATTCTTTATATGTTCTGGATATCAGACTTTTATGAGACACGATTTGCAAATAGATGATCCCATTCTATAGATTATGTATTTTGCTTTCTTACTAGTATTTTCAAAGTAGAAGAGTTCTAAATTTTGACAAAGTCTAATTTATTTATTTTTTTCTTTAGGTGCTGGTGCTTTAGATGTCATATTTTTTAAAACATTGCCTAATCCAAGGTCACAAATAATTATATCTATGCTTTCTAAGAATTTCATAGTTACAGTTTGTACATTGAGGTCGTCGCTCCACTTCAAGTTAATTTTTGAAGGTGGTGAGAAGTAGGGATCCAAGTTCATTCATTTGCATGTGAATAAGACATTTGGAATCCATAACCAAAAGAAAGCTGAGTAGCTATACTAATATCAGTTAAAATTGACATTAAACCAGGAATTATTACTAGAAACACAGAGCAACACATCAAAATGATTAAGAGTACAATTTACCAAGAATAAATTCTATTTTTATATACACCTAATGGCATAGCTTCAAAATATATCAAACATAAATCAGTAGAGTTGATCAGTAGAATTAAATTGGTAGAATTTATTGATTAAAAGATCAATAAATAATTATACAACCATAGTGTCAGTCATTAACACACATCTTTCAGTAGAAACATATTTAAATCATGACCAACACAATTAATATTCTTTACCTCACTTACATAGATTGAACACTTTACCTCAAAAGAACAGAATACACATGGAATATTTAGCAAAATTGACTGTAATCTGAATCATAAAGTAAGCCTTAATCAATTTCAAAGAACTTAAATCATTCAGAATAGTCATAGTCTCTGACCATATGAAATTAAGCAAAAATTCAATAACACAAAGATCATTCCTGTACTTGCTAGATATAAGGTTAATTTTTCAAATGTATTGTCACAGAAAAACGCTATGACAAAATAGGCTTAAGGTAGGGTAGATTTTTTTAGTCTCTGAATAGAGCAATGTAACATATTACTTGCAAATTTATTTTCTGTTTGGGGGCAGAAACATTGGTAGCAGTGGAGTGGGGTGTTGCTGAATAGATACCCAAAAATGTGAAAGTGACCTTGGAACTGGGTAACAGGCAGAGGTTGAAACAGTTTGGAAGACTCAGAAGAAGACAGGAAAATGTGGGGAAGTTTGGAACTTCCTAGAGACTTGTTGAATGGCTTTGGCCAAAACGCTGATAATGATATAAACAAATACGATCCAGGCTGAGGTAGTCTCAGATGGAGATGATGAACTTCCTGGAGCTACAGCAAAGGTAACTCTTGTTATGTTTTATCAGCGACTGGTGGCATTTAGTCCCTGCCCTAGAGATTTGTGGAACTTTGAACTTGAGAGAGATGATTTAGGATATCTGCAAGAAGAAATTTCTAAGCAGCAAAGCATTCAAGAGGTGACTCGGGTGCTGTGGGAGGTAACTGAATCATGCAGGTAAGTCTTTCCCATGCTGTTCTCACGATAGTGAATAAATCTCATGAGATCCGATGGTTTTAAAAAGAGGCATTCCCCTGCACAAGCTCTCTCATTTTTTGCCTGCCACTATTCATGTAAGACATGACTTGCTCTTCCTTATCTTCCACCAGGATTGTGAGGCTTCCCCAGCCATGAGAAACTGTAAGTCCAATTAAACCTCTTTCTTTGTAAATTGCCCAGTCTCTGGTATGTCTTTATCAGCAGGGTGAAAAAAGACAGATACACTTCATTTTGAATAATAGTCTCCAATTCCATCCCGGTTTCTATGAATGCCATTATTTCATTCTTTTTATGGCTAAGTAGTATTCCACAGTATATATATGCACATGTAATATATATATTGTTTATATATATATAATTGTATAAATGTAATATATATTGTATATAATATATATATATTGTATAGATGTAACATATATATATTACATTTTCTTTATCCTGTCATTGATTGATGGGCATTAGGGCTGTTCCATATTTTTGCAATTGCAAATTGTGCTGCTATAAACATGCATGTGCAAGTATCTTTTTGTACAACGGCTTATTCTCTGGGTAAATATCTAGTAGTGAGATTGCTATATCAAATGGTAGATCTACTTTTAGTTCTTTAAGGAATCTTCACACTGTTTTTCATAGTGGTTGTACTAGATTACATTCCTACCAACAGCGTAAAAGTGTTCTCTTTTCACTGCATCCATGTCAATTGGGTTTTTATTATTATTTTATTATGGCCATTATTGTACGAGTGAAGTGGTATCACATTACAGTTTTGATTTGCATTTCCCTGATAAATAACAATGTTGAGCATTTCCACATGCTTGTTGGCCATTTGTACATCCTCTTTTGAGAAATGTCTATTCATGTCCTTAGCCCACTTTTTGATGGGATTGATTTTTTTTTTCTTGCTGATTTGAGTTCTTGAGTTAGATTCTGGATATTAGTCCTTTATCAGATGTATAGATTGTGAAGATTTTCTCCCATTCTGTGGGTTGTCTGTCAACTCTGATGATTATTTCTTTTGCTGTGTAGAAGCTTTTTAGTTTAATTAAGTCCTGTCTATATCTTCGTTTTTGTTGCATTTGCTTTTGGGTTCTTGGTCACAAAGTATCTGCCTAAGCCAGTGTCTAGAAGGGTTTTTCTGATGGTGTCTTCTAAAACTGTTAGGGTTTTAGGTCTTAGATTTAAGTCCTTGATCCATCTTGAGTTGATTTTTGTATAAGATAAGAGATGAGAATCCAATTTCATTCTTCTATATGTGGCTTGCCAATTATCCTATTTGTTGAATAGGGTGTCCTTTCCCCATATTATGCTTTTGTTTTCTTTGTCAAAGATCAGTTAGCATTTTGCTTTATTTCTGGGTTTTCTATTCTATTCCATTGGTCTATGTGCCTATTTTTATACCAGTACCATGCTGTTTTGGTGACTGTGGTATTATAGCATAGCTTGAAATCCAGTAATATGATGATTCCAGGATTGTTCCTTTTGCTTAGTCTTGCTTTGGCAATGTGGGCTCTTTTTTGGCTCCTTATGGATTTTACGAAATAATTCTAAAACCCCAAAGTGACTGAAAATAATTTGATCTTTCTTAGAGAATTACAGTAGGAAGCTCTTTGTTGAGACTTGCCACTAGAGGGAGGTAGCATATCCAAAATAAGCTCTCTTTAGACCTGAAACACAAACCCTGAAGGATTGCTAACTGATTTGGTTCCTAGTTCTATGTAAAGGAGTTCACATATACAGTCACAAGAGGGAGCTGTTACAGCTGCAAATACAAGCTGTTTCCAGGGTGAGAGAGGTTGTCATTGAGTTGTACAAGGAATTTATGTTCATTCTTTTCATCACTTTGTGCTTTATTATCTCTTCTTGAGTTTGTGCACAGCTTCAAAGACAAGGGTAAGCCCCTTCCCAAATGCAAAGCAGAAGTGACCCCGAATGGGAAAAACAGAGAGGTGATTAATATATAGCTCAATTTTAAATGGTGAAGTATTTGTTGCTATAATGGACTGGTAAGCTTAGTTATTGTAGTAGAGATAATGAGTAATTTTATTCCTTCCCATTTCTTTAATAAGCACTTTTGAGAATAACTAGAGAAACCCCTTCATGTGTACTTCTACCTCTCTTATCAAATGGCATCACTTCATTTCCCTCTCCAAGTCTCTTCCCATTCTCCCTTTTTCCTTAGTGTCTTCAATGTATGCAACTCTTAGGCATCATGAAGATCAGAAAACACGTTAAAGAGGAGCTCAAGTGTCATAGAAATCGGGACCATTCAAGCCATTGGCTCCTGTCTCAAAACCAGAGGCACCAGCAATGTTTATCCAGAAGACACTTAGAACATCATTCCAGGAGCCAGTGTGGGAGACCTGAGTACCAGGAAACTGGGCTTTAACCTGAGTTCTAACTTTATTCCTTCCTTTCACACTTAGCACAGCAATTTTTTTTATACAACTATGATATTATTTGTGTTTATATATGTTGCAAGTAACTTCTTTCATTGTGTTATTTGCTTTTCAATTTTGCTTATGGTAATTTTTTTTTTACCAGAAAGAAGTTTATAACTTTTGAAATTAAATTGTATACTACTGCTTCTAATACTTACTTACCCTAAAGATGTGGATAGAAATTCTCTTCTTTCTCTTACAGCACAGGGCTCACGTAGACTTCTTGGAATAAAGAGTATTTCTTACCAGCTCAATGGATTGTCAAACCACCAGTTAATGGTAGGTTTTGTCTTTACCATAATAAGTGATGGGTAATCCCACTGTGAATCATTTTACTCCTTTAGATGTAGCCTACTTGAGTTTCAACCTTGAAAATGATCTCAATGTAAACTTTCTGAATTAAAGCTAGATTTAGGGAAAATATTTTTCCTCCCTTTTTAAAGTCTTGGGGTTTTTAAATTAACAAATAATAATTGTATTTTATCTTCTTTTAAAATTTATGTTTAAACCTGGGGGTAGGCTAAACCTAACCAGGAAGCTGCTCTATCTTTAACTGACAATTGATGGGGAGCACTCAAATTGAAACTCATCTGGTGTGGGATGTGCTATGGCTGCTGCTTTGTTTCCTGGGGCCTCCCCTGACCTAGTATCTGGCACAGATTCTGAATTCTGGGGCCTGGAACCTCAGTGTGCACTTGAACAATGAAGCTGGTGACAAGCATTACTGTACTCCTATCTTTGGGTAAGTGTTCTGGGCCTAAGAAAGAGTAGTTTTGTGGCTGATAATGAAGGAGAGTTATCTGCTGTCTCTACGTTTTCCACCATAATTTACCAATTGCTGGAAAGAATTTGTGTCTGTGTTTCTCGAGGGTGTCTGAGTGTCAGTGTGAGGGGCTGGTCATATCCACTCCTCACACAAGATTCCCCGGGTCTCACAGTTTCTCAGGCTGTAAGGAGTTTTAGGTTCATTGAGCTCAAGGGTCATGGAAGATGGGAAATTTATTTTGGCCTTGTGGCTCTGGTAGCTCAGGAACCAATAAATACCAGTAATATTTCTCTTGTCCTGTGCAACATACATAAAAATACTCAAGTATGGAACAGGGCAGGTAGGACAGTTCCGGAGTCAGGTGAGCCAAGAGTTGATGATCCAGAGCTGATTTGCTATTTTTCAACCCATAGGTATTACAGGTGATGCTAAGACCACACAGCCAAATTCAATGGAAAGTAATGAAGAAGAGCCTGTACACTTGCCTTGTAACCACTCCACAATCAGTGGAGCTGATTACATATACTGGTATCGACAGCTTCCCTCCGCGGGTCCAGAGTATGTGATTCATGGTACAACAAGCAATGTGAACAACAGAATGGCCTCTCTGACAATCGCAGAAGACAAAAAGTCCAGTACCTTGATCCTGCACCGTGCTACCTTGAGAGATGCTGCTGTGTACTACTGCATCTTGAGAGACCACAGTGGAACAGATGGGGCTGCACCTGTGCAATATCTCCCTGATTGTGGAAGAGAAGACATCTAACAAGGCCACTGCACAAGAAGGAACAGAAGTTTAATAAAGGAATAAGAAAATGTAAAGAGAAAAGGGAAAAATGTAAAGAGGAGGTGGTAAGGAAATCAATAAGAGGATTAAAGGAATGAAGAAACTGAGAAAGAACAGTTGAGAATTACTGAAGAAAGGACTGAGAAGCTTGGTGAAGAGATGAAGAATTACAATTGGAATCCTGCAATCAAGAAGAAAGGAAATGAGAATTTTCCAGGGCACTTTCTTTTAATCAACTCTTGCTTTCCATGTAGATCTCACTATAAAAGATGAGAACAACCATTTGGTTGTCCCAAAGTGTTTCTCCATCTAGCCCCAGGGAAGTGCCTGGACTTTGAATATGATATCATATTAGTCCTTCCACCCTCTCAAAAATTGAAATGAATTTCAGAAATTGATTCAGTTTTCCTTGTTACTTATCCACAGCACACACTCTTGGGATATAGATGATTTCTGGAAGGGAGCAAGAAATAGAATATTGATTTCATTTTTTAAAATCTATGTTGAATATCTCTATTATTACACAAAAATACACAAATTTTTTTTCATTGTAAAAGATTCAAGCTATTAAGTACGTGGAGTAAAACCTTAAAGACTCAAACTGTGTGTTTCCATCTCCATCTCACTGTCTCTTCGCTTCCTACAATAACCCATTTGACAGTTTGGAGTATGTCCTGACGATCATACTCCTTTTCATTTACATGGATACTCATGTAAATATCTGCCCCATTTTCTTACACCAGTTGGATCATACCATGTGTATTTGTCTGAAACTTGATTTATTTTTATTTAAAAATAGTTTTTTGAAGGTGTGTTCATACCAAGATATATGTGTGTGTATGTGTATAGGAACTGACCTTATTCTTTTCAATATCTACAAACATTCGCAGTATGGTTGTATAATAATTTTATTTACCTCACCTATATCATCTCTACATATTAAATATATATGACATATATAAACACACACACGTGTGTGTGTGTGTGTGTGTGTGTGTACATATTCCTTATAGAGTCCTAGAAGTGGAATTACTGCGTCAAAAGATATGCCTATTTTATATTTTTATAGATATTGAAAAACTGCATTCCAAAATGGTTTTAACCAATTTAACCTAAGATCAGGAACATGGCAAAAATATCTAGTCTCACCACTTCTATTCAACATTGTCCTAGAGAATCGAACCAATGCAATGAGACAGAAGGAAAAAGGAAACCAGCCTTTACCTATTACAGACTTGTAAATTTTTCTTTTTTGGAAGATGGAGAATGAGGGTTGGTATGCTATTTGAACCTTGCCCACAGATCTAATCTGGCATTTGTCTTTACTTTTGAAACTTCTGTTCAATTTGTTTTCAAAAAATTAGAAGCTTTTTTTGGAATAATTTCAAGTCATTCCACATAACTTCTTTTAATAATGTTATGAGTAAATAGTAATTAATATATTCACCCAGCAAATTAAATCCTTAATCTGTGCCAAATCCTATGTTGTACAATGAATAATATGAGCTTTGGGAACTGCCTTCAAACATGGGAAGAACAAGATACCATGGAAAACAAAATAAATATAATAATGGAGAAAACCACACAGAAATAATTCTACAAACCTCAAAGTGACCAAAAATAATTCTATCTTTCTTGGAGAACTGTGGTAGGAAGCTCTTCACTGAGCCTTGTCCCAAAGGGAGGTAGCACATTCAAAATAATCTGCCTTTAGACCTGAAACACAAAACCCTGAAAGACTGCTAACTGACTTGGTAAAGGAAATCATATTTAACTTTTTAAAAAGTAACTATCATTTTGCAAACAATAGAATTGTCTGCGTAGCAAATCCTGTAGAAAAAAAAACTACTGTAACCAATAAATGAGTTAGAGAAAACTGCAAGACACAAGCTCAATATACAAAATAGTGCTGCTTCCATACAGTAATAATAAACAGGCAAAATTGAAATTTATATATATGCATATATATTTATGCATTTATATATGTATGCATATATATGCACAAAAAACTTTAAGCAAAATGTTAGCAGACTGAATCTCACAATATGTAAAAAGGATAATACATAATGATTATGTGAGGCTCATCTCAAGAATGCAATTTATATATATAAATTTCAATTCTGGGCCAGGTGTGGTGGCTCATGCCTATAATCCCAGCACTTTAGGATGCAGAGAAAGTTGGGTAGATTGAGGCCAGGGGTTTAAGACCAGCATGACCAACATGACAAAACCCTGTCTCTACTAAAAATGGAAAATTAGCTGGGTGTGGTGGCGCACACCTGCAATCCCAGCTGCTCAAGAGGCTGAGACACAAGAATCACTGGAACCTGGGAGGCAGAGGTTGCAGTGAGCCAAGATTATACCACTGTACTGCAGCCTGGGCAGCAGAGTAAAACTGTCTCAAATAAATAAATAATAAATTTCAATTCTGGTGTCTGTGTGTGTGTGTGTGTGTGTGTGTGTGTGTGTGAATAAATTTGACAAAAGATGTGTAAGTCCTATACCATAAAAGATACACAAAATTTCTGATATAAATTTAAGATCTAAATAAATGGAGTTATTGTGTTTGTGGATTAGAAGACTCATATAAAGGTTCTCTCTAAATATATCTATAGATTCAATGTCATTCCAGTCAAAATCCCAACAGAAATTTTCACAGAAATTGGCAAGTGAGGGCCAGGCACCGTGGCTCAAGCCTGTAATCCCAGCACTTTGGGAGGCTGAGGAGGTAGGATCACCTCAGGTCAGGAGTTCAAGACCAGCCTGACCAACATGGAGAAATGCCATCTCTACTAAAAATACAAAACTAACTGGGTGTAATGGTGCATGCCTGTAATCCCAGCTACTTGGGAGGCTGAGGCAGGAGAATCACTTGAACCCGGGAGGCAAAGGTTCTGGTGAGCTGAGATCATACCATTGCATTCCAGCCTGGGCAACAAGAGCAAAATTCCATCTCAGAAAAAAAGATGAAATTGACAAGTGGGTCTAAGATGTATATGAAAATGCCAAGAGACTGTAATAGCAAAAAAAATATTCTTTTTAAGGAACTTACACTAATGATATTAATATTTTTATAGTTATAATAATCAAGAAACTATGATATTGATATAAAGATAGACAAATAGAATATTGGAACACAATAAAGGGTCCAATAACAGGCCAACACATATATGGTCAGCTGATTTTCAACAAAAATACCACAATCATTAGTTATGAATTGAATATTTGTGTTCTCCCATCACGTGAGGACACCATGAAAAGACTGCCATCTGAACCAGGAAGCAGGCCCTCACCAGGCATGAGATTTGCCAGCACCTTGATCTTGGACTTCCCAGCCTCCAGAACTGTGAGAAATCAGTTTCCATTGTTTTAGCCACACAATCTATGGTATTTTGTTATGGCAGCTCAAGCTAACAAATACAATCTCAAAATACATAGCCTGAAAGAAACCAGATAACAGAAAGTACATACTGTATGATTCTGTTTACATAAAACTCCAGAAAATATATAGTAAGAGAAGGCTGACTCTAGGTAGCCTGGGGTTGAATAGGGGTTGGGATGATATGCTGGAAAGGTATACAGAAAGGATTAACAAGGAGCACAAGGAATTGGGCCACAAGGGAATGTTGGGGAGTGGTGCATATGTTCTTTATTTGATTGTGATGATGATTTCACATTTGTATGACCATGTCAAAAATGATCAGACTGGACCTTGCAAACATATGTAATTTATTATATGCAAGCATACCCCAGAAAAGTAGTTTTTAAGAAGGGTCAAAACCAAACAGACAGAGATAAATGTTGAAAAATAATCACTCTGTACTATACAGAATATAATTTTTTACTTTCTCTTAATTATAGTGGGCAAACTTTCTCAAGCCTGCAAGGGTAACATATGTTATGAGATTATATTTTCTTTATCTCATAAGTATCATATTTTATTGCAATAAACTGATCTATGTCATATATAAATTAACTCCAGGAAACCTGTCCATTATTCAGCATTTCTCAGTCTGGCCAAAGAGTGGCAGTGTTTAAAAAAAAAGTATTTGAGTAAGTTTGTGCAGTGCTGAACAAATAGGAATCTAGATATGGCTTCTGATTGGTGCAATCTCCTGCACCAATGAGTAAAGTAACTTCTGCTGGGGAAGCCCATTCAGTAAAATTTGATTTAGCTGTGTTTTCTAGGTAGCTAAAGGATGGAGACTATTCTGCAAGTACTCCTAGGGATACTGGGGTTCCAAGCAGCCTGTGAGTATGTGGCTAGTCTGGGAGAGTTGTAAGACGATGACAGCATCCTGGTGGCAAGAACTGAGTCATCTTCTGTCCTGGGAAGGTCCTTTTGAGAGCCAGATACATGTTGGGAAAAAAAGGGCAATACTTTGTTTTGATGTGATGATTCTGCTGCCTAGAGGGTGTTGGGAGGGGGAGAGAAACATCCTCCCTACTATGAACATGAAAATCTTATGAGGGTCTTCTGCATTTTCTTTACATTGTCTTTTTGAACAGGGATCAGTAGCCAAGAACTGGAACAGAGTCCTCAGTCCTTGATCATCCAAGAGGGAGAGAATCTCACCATAAACTGCAGGTCATCAAAAACATTATATGCCTTACACTGGTACAAGCAAAAGTATGGTGAAGGTCTTATCTTCTTAATGATGCTACAGATAGGTGGGGAAGAGAAAAGTCATGAAAAAATAACTGCCAAGTTGGATGAGAAAAAGCAGCAAAGTTCCCTGCATATCACAGCCTCCCAGCCAAGCCACACAGGCATCTACCTCTGTGGAGCAGATACACAGTGATCTTCAGGCCTCTATCAGCTGTTTCCAAACCTGCAGCTGGGTCACAGATGCTCTCCTGACATGGGGCTCCTGAGATGTGGCTGGGACCTTTGCCAAGACAAAAAGACTGAGAACATTGCAATCGTCTTATTGAAAAAAGAAAAATGGGGAGGCGGGTAGGAATCATACAAAGGGGAACTATATCATTAATCCCAAATTTAATTTGACTTTATTGTCTGGTAGTTATGTCACTTTTTAGTAGGTAGAACATCCAACTGGAATGAGAATAGCATGAATTTCAATGATTTATGCAAGAACTATGCATGAATATTGTGTCCCTGTTGTGCCAAGGAACTTCTTTCCCTTTGCTATTTATCCAACCTTGTAAATAAAAATAAATTTTACGTTGTTTGTTAAATTCTTTATCACATATTAACATCGCACCAAGAGTATGAAAGTATCCACACTGCAGAGTCATAGGCAATACTTTTTCTTTTTTTTTTTTTTTTTTTTTTTTTGCCAATCAGTTTGAGCTTATGAGGTAGCTCAGGTTAGCCTTGAACTGATGACCTCGCCTTCGCGAGTGCCATGAGCTCCGGCAGGAGCCACTTTGGACTCCAGGCAATACTTTTTCTAAGTTTGTAGTGTAGATATTTAAAAAATACAAATGTTTAGATAAATAGGAGATAGATAGATTATAGGTAGCTAGATTATTAGATAGATAGAAACATACATACATAGATACTTAGACAGTAGGTAGATTAGATAGCTGTGGGGGGGGAGAGAGAGTGCGCACACTAGAGAGAAGGAAATATATTAAGAAATATCTCATTCAGTCTCAGACTGGCCTCCACTTCTCTTCTCACTGTGCTATTATTCATATTCTGTTCTCAGTATTTTTCTGGTCACTCCAAATTATCAGCTTAAAGAAATGTTCCCCAGTTGCCCCAGTATGAAATGGTCAAGATCTTAACCTTCATCATCCACTCCACATCAGAATAGTGCTGACCTAAAGTGGGTGTTTAAAAGTATTAAACTGAAACTGAATAACTGAAAAGATTATAGGTCAGGGAGAAGTAATTCACATATTTCTTAAAAACTGCTTCTTAAAAGCTCTATGATGTTGACCAATAATTTTAACTTTCCAAGTCTCTATTTCTCTTCTGTAAAGTTGATACAATCATATTATTTTATTCATATGGTTCTTATTAAGATGAAGTAAGGTTATAGATTACATCCATTAAGTACATGATATATTGTAAGCCCTCGATATTTGAAATACTATTTTTTCTATTAAACAATAATCACAAGTCAAAATTCTTGGGTGAAAGTAGGGTGGTTGATCAACATGATATGGCTCCAACCTAACTAGGAGGTTGTTCTATTCTTTAAATTTTAAAAAGAAAGGAGGAATATAATGGTCTCCCATCCTCAGAAATGGCCTAGTGACCTGGTTTCAAAAGAAATTGCATGCAAAATGGGTCATTTGTGTTGGCCAAAGTCAGGGAAGATTTTTTAAAATCAAATAGAGTTAGACTATTTTCTGTTTTAAATAAACGCTACCTATACCACCCCGGGGTGAAAAATTTGCTAAAATAACCAGGAAAGAGCGAAAAGAGAGAAGTCCACGAAAGAAAATGTTTGGCAGCTTTTCTTAAAAAGGAAAACAAAAGCATCTAAGAGAAAATGTGCAGAATTTATTGACAATATATTTTATCTAAAGGAAACTCCACAGGTGGATGGAAAGGATGAGGACCTGGATTATACTGCACCTACCACCTGTGTGGCTGTGCTCAAAGAACAGAAGCTCTTTGGACTGGTTTCTAAGTTTCAGAATAACGATGTTGTATTATCCATTAGTCTCACTGTATTTTATTAACTGAAACACCACATGTGAAACAGAAGACTCTAATGCAAATGTAAAGAGATTTGTTACTGAAACCTTAGGTCAAGCTTTGGATGTTCTCAAAAGGGCAATGGCAGGAATGAGAATGGAGAAGAATATTCTCAGTGAGTTGTAGGACTTAGAGAAAGCCTCAAGGGCTGCCATGTGTTTTATCATGTCCTGAGAAATAGGTTTACAAATATTAGCACCTTCTTACTGTGCTGGCTAATTCATTCTGATATCTCCAGCAGTTTGTGTAGGGTGGGCATGTAGGGGGGAAACAAAGGGTTTTCTACTCTCAACAACCACATGTCTCACCTGTTCTTGCTGCCTGCAAGCCATGGCCACATCCAATTGACTCTCTCTTCCCAAATAGCTTCAAGAGAAGCAAATCATATTCAACAGCTTTTGTGGCAGAGCTCATCCTGGAGACTTTTGTACAACTTGTTTTATCATATCGTCTTTGATAAAAGTTCCGAAGCTGGGGCTAGTTGTAGCAGAATTTGAACATAGGAGAATTCTGCCTTTAGTCTTTTGCAATTCCTGCACTGTTGCCTCCCACCTATTCTAGTGCTTCTGTTTTTAACCCAGCCCCTAGTGGTATCCTGTGACCTTTTAATACTCTGTTAACCTGCCCCAAGCCTGATATTTCTAGTCACTAAATTGCTTTCCAGGATCTTCTCCCACAAGATTGAGTCCATATGTATCTCTCTACTCAGTCTCTAAAATAAAGTGGCTTACAGCCTAACTTACATCTCAATATAATGTTCTAGGTTAGGCCTCCCTGGACTGTTTGTATTTGAAAAAAAGATGTTAGAGGAGATTCCAAGAAACTCTCCTCAAATGATATATTCTCAGTTATAGTGACAGTAGATAGAAAAGATATTTTTATCACAAAATACTGTTTCCCACACTTCTCAGCCATAGTAAACTGATTTTCAGAGAAGTTAAAACTTGTTCAAAGTCATACAATTAAGAAGTGGCAGAGACGTGGTATTTTTTTGTGATAGAATTCTTTCCTTTTCCCTGTCTGTTGAAGGGTCTGCATTTAGTCACTTCTTTAAATTATTTTCTGTTTCTTTCCCTTCTTCCTCACAAAGGGCACTAAAGGTCGTGGTAATGTAGGATCATTTTAATCATGTTATGTCTTCCTAACATGAATGACTCTTGGCTTTTCCAGTTAGCAGGTAGTGGTCCATTATGCTGTGTTTATATTTTCTGCATATATGATGATATAAAGAAAGTAACCAAAGGACTGTTACTTACTTGCCCCATGACTCCTGTTACATAGCCTTTGAACCTCAGTTTCTCATAGAAAAATGAAGAAAATAGTATCTGCCATTCTAGTGCTTTTTACTGTATTAAATGTAAATGTATATTGTTCTTTAAATGTTATGATTCTGTCCACTTATTACAACAATTGTTATGTAAATGACATCTATCTGATAATAGACACAACATATTTTTCTATTAACTGCATATGCAGTAAAAATACAGTATAGAAAATATTAAAATAACCTATCTGTCTATTTTAGTATCAGTGCCATGCTGTTTGGATTACTATAGCCTTGCAGTATAGTTTGGAGTCAGGTTTTGTGACACCTCCAACTTTGTTCTTTTTGCTTAGGATTGCTTTGGCTATTTAGGCTTTTTTTCCCATATTAGTTTCAGAATTTTTTTTCAAATTCTGTAAAAATGATGCTTGCAATTTGATAGGAATTACATTGTATCTGTATATTGCTTTGGGTTGTAATTTTAATGATATTTATTCTTCCAATCCATGAGCATGAGCTATTTTTTGATTTGTTGTATCATCTATGATATCTTTCATCCATGCTTTGTAGTTCTCCTTGTAGACATCTTTCATCTCTTTTGTTAAATGTATTCCTAAGTATTTTATTATTTGTGTGTGTGGCTATCATAAATGAGATTGGGTTCTTGGTTTCTTTCTCAGCTTGGTTGTTAATGGTGTATATAAATGCATCTTACTAAAGTAATTTATCAAGTCTAGGCATCTTTCAGAAGACTCAGGGTTTTCGAGGTATAAGATCATGTCATCAGTGAACACATATTATTTTACTTCCTTTTTTTAATTTGGATGCCTTTTATTTTTTCTTTTGCCTGATTGCTCTGCCTAGGACATCTGGTACTATGTTGAATAGGAGTGGTAAGAGTGGGCATTCTCGTCTGGTTCCTGTTCTTAGGGGGAATGCTCTCAACTTTTCCCCATTGGCTATGATGTCATGGATGGCTTTTATTTGCCATAGATGTTTTTTATTATTTTGAGGTATGTTCCTTTGATGCCTAGTTTGTTGAGGGTTTCTATCATAAAAGAATGGTGGGTTTTTATTGAATGCTTTTTCCACATCTATTGAGATGATCACATGGTTTTTGTTTTTAACTCTGTTTACAAGATGAATCACATTTATTGATTTGTATATTTAGAACACAGACCAGTGGAACAGAATAGAGGACCCAGAAATAAAACCATATATGTACAACCAACTGATCTCTGACAAAGTCAACAAAAATAAACAATGAGGAAAGGACATCCAATTTAATAAACAGTGCTGGGAAAACTGGATAGCCATATACAGAAGAATGAAACTGGATGCATATCTCTCACCATATACAAAAATTAAGTCCAGACAAAATACATACTTTTTATTTTATAAAAGTATAAAATACACGCTTTTTATTTATTTGATGGAAGTATGAGATAAGGACATAAAAAATCCTGTCATTCAATAAAATTTGAAAAAAATGCAGTTTTTATTGAACGCTTTTTATTGAGGACCTGAAACTATAAAAATCCTAGAAGAAAAAACAGGAAAAACTCTTCTGGCCATTGGCCTAGGGAAAAATTTATGACCAAGATCTCAAAAGTGAATGCAATGGAAGCAAAAAATAGACAAGCAAGATTTAATTCAACTAAATAGCTTCTACACAGCAAAAGAAATAATCAACAGAATAAGCAACCTACAGGATGAGAGAACATGTTTTCAAACTGTCATCCAACAAAGGACTAGTATCCTGAATCTATTAAAAAAACAATAACTCAGACAACTCAACAAGAAAAAAATAACCCTATTAAAAAATTGGCAAGGGACATGAACAGACATTTCTCATAAGAAGGCATACAAACAACCAGCAAGCATATGAGAAAATGCTCAATATCACTAATCATCAGAGAAATGCAAATCAAAACCATAATAAGATACCATCTCACACCAGTCAGAATAGCTATTATTAAAAAGTCAAAACACAAACAGATGTTGGCAAGAATATGGAAAAAAAGAGAATGCTTATACTCTCTTGGTGAGAATGTAAATTAGTACAACATCTATGAAAAACAGTATGGAGACTACGCAAAGGACTACAAATAGAACTACCATTCGACCTAGCAACACCACTGCTACCCAAAGCACTACAAATAGAACTAACACTCAACCCAGCAGCACCAGACTACCCAAGGGAAACAAAACTGTTATATCAAAAAGACACCTGCTCTTGTGTATTTATGAAAGCAGTATTTAAAAAAGCAAAGTCATGAAATCAACCTAAGTGTCTATCAATGTATGATCATATAAAGAAAATGTGGTATATTTATACCATGGAATACTATGCAACCATAAAAAGAATAAAACCATATCTTTTGCAGCAACATGGATGGAGCTGAAGGCCATTATCCTATGTGGAATCACTAAGAAACAGAAAATAAAATACCACATGGTCTCACTTATAACTGGGAGCTAAACAATGGGTAAACATGGGCCTACAGAGAGAAATAATAGGCAGTGGAGATTCCAAAGTGTGGAATGATGAGAGTTGAGAGCTACCGATTCAGTACAATGTTTGTCATTCAGGTGATGAGCACACTAGAATCCCAAACCTCACCTATTGGGCTCATGCAGTATATCCAAATAACATACTTGCACACGAATGCCCTGCATCTTAATAATAATAATAATAATAAATATTACAGTTATATGCTTATATAGCACACTTACAATGAATGGAGCTTACAGGACTGGAAGGTGGTCTGTGTAATTCAGTAAGTGAGTAAGGGGTCAGTGAATGTAAAGGACAATATTATACACTACTGTAGACTTCATAAACACCATATACTTAGGCTACAGTAAATGTATTTAACAATAATTTTATCTTCTCAACAATAAATTAACCTTACTACTTTACTGTAGCTTTTTTTACTTTACAAATTTTTAATTTTTTAACTTTTCATCTCTTTTGTAATGGCTTGAAACACAAACACATTGTAGAGCTCTACAAAAAGATTTTCTTTTTAATATCCTTATTCTATAAACTTTTTTCTATTATTTAAACTTCTGTACTGAAAACTAAGACACAAACACACAAGCTAGCCTAGGCCTACACAGAGTCAGGATCATCAGTATCACTGTCTTCCACCTGCACAGCCTGTCCTACTGGAAGGTCTTCAGGGGCAATAACACGCATCAGCTGTCATCTCCAGCTGTCATCTCCTATGGTAACAATGTCTTTTTCTGGAATACCTCCTGAAGGACCTGCCTGAGGCTATTTTAAAGTTAATTTTTTTTATAAGTAGAAGGAATATACTCTAAAATAACTATTAAAAGTATAGAAGAGTAAATATACAAACAGGTATTACCATTTATTATTATCATCAAGTACTATGAACTGCACGTAATTGTATGTACTATACTTTTACATGACCAGCAGCATAGTAGGTTTGTTTACACCAAGGTCACCACAAACATGTGAGTAACGCATTTGTGCTATGATTTTTACAATGGCTATAATGTCATTAGGTGATAGCAATTTTTCAGCTCCATTATAGTCTTATGGGAACACTGTCATAAATTGTTGATGGAAACATCGTTATATGGTGCATGATTGTATAATAAAACCTGTTCCATTTGGATCATTGGTCAGAGACACCAAAAGACACAATGTAATCAAGATGTGTAGACCCAATGTCAGCCTTCTAGACACAAATGAAACTACACCCAACTTAGCTCAAGAAACTTTCTAAAGCAAGAGTTTCCAGTTCCCCAATCTGTGGGAACAAGGAGAACCACAATAAGCATAGAAAAAAATCGTTATCTCTGAACTTGTCAGAAGAAAAATCCCATCAAGGAACATTTTTGAGAACCTGAATTCTAGGGAAGCCCATTGGAGGCCACAGCCACTCCAGAAATGGAGGCCACTGCTTCCTGACATGTGCTAAGGCCACATCTCCGCTCACTTTCTGTCAGTAGGTGTCACTTGAACAAATTTTCTCATGGTCCTGGCCAGGCACCTGGAGCGTGGGGGCATGTCTTGCTTTGCCTATGCCTCTGTCAAAATGCATATCATACAATGATGTTATGGATTGAATGTCTTAGGTGTTACAGAGTAGGTGTCATGGAGTGAATATTTGTGTATCCTCCAAAGCGCACTCCCCTCTCTGTCTCTCTCTCTCTCTCTCTCTCTCTCTCTCACACACACACACACACAGACACACACTCTCTCTCTCTCCAAGGAAAGGCATGTGATACCTTGATTTTAAACTTCCAGCCTCCAGACCTGTGAGATAATAAATATTTCTTGGTTAAGCCACCCAGTGAGTGGTATATTGTTATGGCAGCTCAAGTGGACTAATACAATATGTTATTCTGCTCCTGACCCTACTTACTGAGCTAGACCTTCCATGGTCCCCACGTCTCTCCCAGGGGACACTGTATGCAGCCTGGAGCTATGTCATTTTTCAGTACTCAAAAGTAGTGCCGTCCTACATTTACTTGTTGTTTGTTTTCTTGGAGTGCCTGGTAGGTATCTTCCTTCTCTTTGAACTGTAAATAGAAAAGATCCTTCTTTTCAAAGTAGAATTTTCTTTCTGAACAAGCTCAACAGAATAATTTCCTACCATTGATCTTCTGGCATGACAATTTGAATCAAAAAATCATTTGAATAATTGTGTTAGAATACACAGCAACTGTATTTCTTAGGTTAGCATAGTTTGCAAACAAAAGACATATGTTTTCCTAATAACCTTGGTTTTTTTTTTAATTCCCTACAAATCACTGCCAAAGAAAGTGAGGCTGTATTCTTGAAGGCCTAGGATATACAGTCCCCTGTATGTATATAAAATTTGTTTGAAATCTCATGTATTATATTTAAAATTCATGTTACTTGCTATTATGTAATATATTCTCATTTCTTTCAATATACAAAAAATACTTTAAATTGATCAATAAACATATGTCATGTTTATCCCAGAGCTTAATGTCACCCTTCATACATAGCTACACTACTACTTGGCTTATTCTCCTTTAGGAGATAGAAATGTATTGCCAGTATCCTCAAGGAAATAGGGACACTTTCAAGGCTGAGACAGTGGGGCTCATGAAGAACTGGAACAATATAAACCATTGCTGAAACTGCAACAACAACCATAATGACCACAAGGAGGCAACAGATCTAATGACAATGGAAAACCACCCCCTTTAGAAATTGGTGAGCCCCTGCAGCTGTCATCTCTGTGCCTCCCACATGCCATTAAGAGAACATAGAATTAATGCATTTTTTTATCTGAATGAAGGTGTTTTGCTTTCTGTTTACAGGGTTTTCTTCTCAAAAAAATATATTTTTCAATAAAATCTTGCAGAGAGGTTAAAAAAGAAAAAAAGCAACATAAGATTATCTGCATTTTTATTTGGTGGAGAGCAGCAATTCATTTTAGGAAACATACCACCACATAATAGGAACAGAGACGGTAAGAAAGCTAAATATAGACAAAAGTAGGTCATGGGCAAACCTAAACAACTAAGAAAAAAATTGCAATGAAATTAAAAGAAGAAAGATGCCCAGGGAGGCAGAAATAGATTTTCTTGCCCTTCTAAGTCTAAAGGGCACAATGAGATACAAAACACAAATGCCCGTAGATGGCAGAAGCTATTTACCTAAATCAGGATTGAAGCTTCATAGCTTTCCTCATGCTATCCTTCAAGCTATCCTCATGGCATAGCTTAGGCACTCAGCCCAGATCCTAGGCATTTGAAAGTCCAAGTTGCAGAATCAATTTTAATCTTTAAAACCAAGCTTCTTCAAAATTCCATTCCGTAAAAGTGAGGTTTGCCACTATTCAAAGTTTTTATTTGCTTCTTAAAGAAAAGCCAGAATGTTCCTACCACTGTGTTGATAAACAAAGGTAACGTTGCCTCTATCAGGGTCTTTTTCTTTTTTATTTATGAGCATCCTGGGATGCTCATTCATATTTAGTAGGATATAAATCTGAGATTCAAGCAAAGGAAAATGGCTCCAGTTCCTGTTTTTAAATATTTCTTCACTTCACTCTCAACTAAGCCTGATAACCCGAATTTCATGTTATTTATTCAATATCTTCAGGAAAATAGTCTTTTTTCCCCAAAAGTGGTTGGAAAGGAGTGGGCGCCTGACTTTTCCAGGTCAAATGGGAAATCTGAGGGTATAACTGCGATTTATTCAATTGTACTTTGTATATTCTGTATAAAATCTCCTATCCCTACCCTCTCTCTAATCTTCTGAAGTACCAGGTATCCTATTTACTGAGATTTTTTGTGCAGCTGAATTTATGTTGGCATTTGCTTCTGTGGGTCTTTAGAATTTGTTTTCTCCAGTTCGTTTAAGTCAGTTACCACTTGTTCATTCACTTGCACTTCCAAAACATCTCACTTGCTGTTATCCTTTGCCTGTTCTATGTGTTCTTTGGGGTTCATAACTTTTTAAAACATTTTTACTCTCATTTTTCCAGGTACTCAGAAAGGAACAGAGAAGTATGTTTCCAATTCACTGTACTTAATTATCAGTCTAGCCTTCACTGATTTTTCAGAGCGATTATAAGGTACCCAGGGGCAGTTCCCATCTGTCTTGTTCATGTCTCTATATTTCTCTAAAATATAGTGAGTACTCATTAAGCGTGTTCATCAAATGAAAGGGAAAAATAGGAAGAAACTAAAAAAGTGACACAAAAGGACAAAAATCTAGCATTTCACCATGGGGGGCAGTGTCTCTATTCATAGCTAACCTTCACGTTTAGCTCAAAACCCTGGGAAAACATCTGGTAAGAGAACTGATTGGCTGATATCTGGAACAGAGATTTTAACTTCGTGATAGTGTTTTTAGTGTTACTCTAAGCCCAGGGGAGTTTCTTGAAGCAAAAAACAAACAAAAGAAAAAACCCATCAGGGAAATCATTCTTTGCTGATAAGGATGCTCCTTGAACATTTATTAATAATCCTCTGGATACAGCTGACATGTGAGTCTTGGGAGTTTCTGACACAGTCATAGAAAATTCTAAAGGGGAGGAAATTCTGTGAGGACAGGAGGTGAGGCTTTATCTGAGACTATGAAAAGAGGAAAACAGGAGAAAAGCTAGAAAAGGAGGAAGGAAAGGAAAGACACAGGGGCAGGGCTGGGAAGTTTGGGGATATAGTGTCTATCACAGCTCTGGAAAAGGTGATCTAAAGATAACCTTAACCACCTCCTTTTCTCTTTCTAAACAGGGGTCAGTGGTCAACAGCTGAATCAGAGTCCTCAGTCTATGTCTATCCAGGAAGGAGAGGATGTCTCCATGAACTGCACTTCTTCAAGCACATTTAACCCTTTGCTATGGTACAAGCAGGACGCTGGGGAAGGTCCTGTCCTCTTGATAACCTTATATATGGGTGGTGAATTGACCAGGAATGGGAGACTGACTGCTCAGTTTGGTATAACCAGAAAGGACAGCTTCCTGAATATCTCAGCCTCTGTGCCTGATGATGTAGGCACCTACTTCTGTGCCGGGCAACACAGTGCTCCCCAAGCACCTACAGCCTGTACTCAAACTTGCAGCTGGGACTGTAGTCTCTATGCTGCCTTCAGCTCTTAGTCCTCTTGGCATGAAATGTAATTATGCATGCTACCTATGACCCTGTTATTCCATTACTCTATTATTCCAACTCTCCTTTATCCAAGGATTTGTCCAAAGATTGTGCTCTTTGCTTGATGAATTTGCCCCTGTCGATTCATTTTTAATGTATGTAATAAATATCTTTGTTATTTCTGTCAAGATATGAGGAGAACTGATCAACACACAATTACAGAATATTTTAATAAATATCTCTTAAAATGGATTGATATCAATAAAGAAAAAATGAGAGTCCAGAAATAAATCCATAAGTCTATGGCCAATTTATTCCAACAAGACCATTGAATGGGAAAAGAATAGTCTTTTCAATAAGGGGTGCTGGGACCACTGGACAGCCACAGTTGGATCTCTACCTTACACATGTACAAAAGTTAACTCAAATGGATTAAAGATTTAAATGTAAGATCTAGAAGTACAAATGCTTAGATGGAAACATAGTTGTAAATCTTGGTGACCTTGGACTATGCAACAGCCTCTTACATACAACACCAAAAAAAGCAACCAAAGGAAAAATAGATAAATTGGGCTTTATCATAATTAAAATCTGTGCATCAAAATTCACAAGATTTGTCACAAAGGAAAATGAAAATATAACCCATATAATAGAAGAATATATTTGCAAGCCATGTATATATGATAAGGATCTAATATCAATAATATATTTTTAAACTCCTACAACTTGACAATAAGACAAATGCCAACTTTAAAATGGTCAAATGATTTAAACAGTCATTGCTCCAAAGAAGACATATAAATGGCTAAAAAGCATGTAAAAAGATGCTCAACGTCATTATTCATTGGGAAAATGCAAATTAAAACCACAACGAGATGCCACATCACACCCAGTAGGATGTTCATAATTTTTAAAAAGGGAAGAAGAAGAAAGAGAAATGGAAAATTATGTGTTGGTAAGGATGTGGGGAAATTGGAATCCTCATCTGCCACTGGTAGGAAAGTTAAATGCTACAGACACATTAGAAAATAGTTTGGCAGTTTCTCAAGTGACTAAACACAGAGTTACCATTTGACCCAGCAATTGCAGTCCTAGACATCTACTTAAGAGGTCTAAGATATGATTTATTTCATTGGCCAGAACCACATCATATGACCAGCACTAATTGCAAGGGAGGTTGAGGAAGGGAGCATTTAATTTGTCTAGCCCCTTTCTGAGACAAGAAAGATGTCAATTGCAGATAAGTGTTGGGTTAACTATCCAAAAACATCTGCCACGTCATACTAGGACCTCACTCCTCAGAAGAGATTCTGATGATACATCTTGATATTCTTATTACTGTTATTATCCTAACAGCATGTGCCAAAGGAAGCTGAAGTCTGTTAAGAGCTCTATAGAGCTGTTCAAATGTAGTATTGGTTTTGCTCCAAAAAAATATACTGTAGGTTTTTTTCCTTGCAAGTGTCCTGCGGGAAATCAGCATCTCTTAGGAGGCATCAGCTGATGTTTCAGAGGGAAAATGGTCCACTGCCCCTGACAGTAAAATGGGCAGTTCCAGGCAGTTCTTAAAGCTAATAGCTTTAATGTCTCACAGAGACCATCATGTTCTTAAAAGTCAATATGGAATTCACTTCCCTCTCCCTGAGGAGCAGTCCCCTGAAAACACAGCACAATATTTCGATGGGTCTCACATGTGTATATGACATAACCCTCAAAATCCTAGGAATGTTTTAATTGAGGTAATACTTTTACAGGTATTTGTAGGATCTCCATCACAATTATTTTCTTAGGAACTTAAAAAATGGGTATTAGCTAACCACAGATAACCATGTTTTATACTCCCTTCCCCATTCAGCTGTGTATAGGCAAATCTACCATCTGAACTTTCTCAGTGTGGAAGCAATAGATTATTTAATAGCAGGATTTCTACTTTATTTTATTTTTGACTTTTATTTTAGGTTCAAGAGTGCATATGAAGTTTATTAGGTAATCCGCCTGGCACAGGGGTTTGGTGTATGGATGATTTCATCACCAAGGTAATAAGTATAATACCTGCTAGGTTTTTTAATACTTACCTTCCTCTCACCCTTCATCCTCAAGAAGGTCTGGGTGTCTCTTGGTCCCTTCTTTGTGTCCATGTATACTCAAGGTTCAGCTCCCACATATAAGTGAGAACATGTGGTATTTGATTTTCTGTTGCTGTGTTAATTTGTTTAGAATAATGGCCTTCAGCTCCATCCATGGTGCTGCAAAAGACATGATCTCATTCTTTCTTATGGCTGTGTAGCATTCCACTGTGTATATGTACCACATTTTCTTTATTCAGTCCACCATTGTTGGGCATTTAGGTTGACACCCTGTCTTTGCTATTGTGAATAGTGCTGCCATGAACATACATGTGCATGTGTCTTTATGGTAGAACAATTTATATCCCTTTGGGCATAATGGGATTGCTGGGTCAAATAATAATTCTATAGAAGGCTTTTTAAAGTGTAGGCTAGTATTGAAAGTAAAGATTGCCCTATTCATTTCTGTATGCACTTCTGTTCTTGGCACAAAGAAGATAGGCAATTAAAAATGTTACATGAGAGGCTGAGTGTGGCCACTCATGCCTGTAACCTCAGCACTTTGGGATGCTGATGCGGGTGGATCACAAGATCAGGAGATTGAGACCATCCTGGCCAACATGGTGAAACCCAGTCTCTACTAAAAAAAAAAAAATATATATATATATATAGCTGGGCTTGGTGGTGCATACCTGTAGTCCCAAATACTCAGGAGGCTAAGACAGGAGAATTACTTGAACCCGCAAGGCAGAGGTTGCAGTGAACTGAGATTGTGCCACTGCACTCCTGCCTAGCAATGGAGTGAGACTCCGTCTCAAAAAAAAAAAGTTAAGTGAATTAAGGTGCAAGATGGTAATTAATTCTCACATCTGTGCCTCTGTGCCACCCAGAAACACAGAAGGAAACTTATAACCAACAAACAGTGGATAAAATTATCTGACCTTCATGGGAACAGTACAAACTATATTCTTAAGCAGTAATAGAACATGGCATTAGTTACTTTATTGTGGTGTTTTCAGATCATCAGTCTCTTACTTCATGTTTCTGGGTTTTGTTTCTTGCTTAAGATCTAGAGAATTAGGCCGAATTATCATTGTCACAAAAAAAGTAGTCTTGGAAACCAAGAGATCCATTACTTCATCTCTACTGGGCAATTCAGCTTTTCTGGAATGCAAATATGTTTGTCTTCACTTTGAGATCTGAACTTTTAAATTAGTAATTCTTTTTCTTAGTGATCATAAAGATCAAGCAAGAAACTCCTAGTCCTCCTAGACTTGGACACTACCTACATGGATTATATGTATTTTACTAAAAATAGACATTCCTAGACGATGACAAGAAAACTACGTAATAACATTTATGGAATGGAATGCAACCAAAGCTATACTCCAAGTATATTAGCGAAGACCAAACCATTCTAACAAATATATGCCAAATGTTCAGAGGCTTAATGAACAAACTGTATTTGTCTTTCTTGTGAAAATCTGGAGCAGATATTCCAGTTCAGCAGATGACTCTGCCTTACATGGTCTTTGTGGAACTGAGGTTATTCTCATTCGGGGACTCTGCTATTTCTCAGAGACTTGGCAACATCTGCAGGGTCATGGCCTGGCTATGCCAGGTTTCAGTTAGCAAGGAGATGAAAGCATGGGCATGGAGCAGGCATGGCCACCCCTTTAAGAATCCTGGACAAGAAATAATAGAATTACTGACTCCTAGAATTATGGACAGCTTTGGGTAGCCTGTCCTTCAATGGTGAGACAATTTTGGAAATATCTACCATCATTCGTAAAGCATGTAGACGCAAGTTTTCAGCTATTCTGCACCAGCTCACAAGATGGCAGTGTTCTATTTTGAATGACTCCCATGGGTGATGGAGTGGGAGGGATTTGAATTTGAATAAAACCAAATGACACTTTTTTTTTTAATGGTTGGCTGAATAGACAAATTGCTGTTTCCCTTTTTCTGAGAGAGAGAGAGTGTGTGTGTGTGTGTGTGTGTGTGTGCATGCGCGCTCATACACATGCACACTCTAGGGGTGGAGAGTGATGGTTCAAAAAGAAAAGGAAGCACTTAGGGCAGTGAATCACGTTTTGACCAGGAAAACACACTTGATAATTGAAGGATGATGAAGTGTCCACAGGCTTCGCTAGTGATCTTTTGGCTTCAACTGAGCTGTAAGTAGGGTTACTGCAAAGAGTCAGGGGCAACCAGGAAACCTGAGTCTTGATCCTCAGAACACTAAGAGGGTAAAGCAGACTTCATTCTGACTTATCTGGGAGCCCTATGGTTTCAATGGTGAATAATTATTACATTCTTCTTCACAGGGGTGAGCAGTGAAGACAAGGTGATACAAAGCCCTCCGTCTCTGGTTGTCCACGAGGAAGACAGTGTAACTGTCAACTGCAGTTATGAAGCAGCTAACTTTCAAAGCCTACTCTGGTACAAGCAGGAAAAGAAAGCTCTGACATTTCTATTTATGCTAACTTCAAGTAGAATTGAAAAGAAGTCAGGCAGCTTAAGTAGCATGTTAGATAAGAAAGAACGTTTCAGCATCCTGAACATCACAGCCACGAAGACCAGAGACTCGGCCACCTACCTCTGTGCTGTGGAGGCACAGTGCTCCCTAGTCACCTGCAGCCTGTACTCAAATTCTACAGCTGAGTCTCTGCAACCATAAGATGGGGAACTTGCTATGTTGAGCAAGCCCTCAAAAAAAAAAAAAAAAAACCTATAAGGAAAAGCAGTTATTGCTCAAGATTTTTGTGCCCATGTTGACAATTACTTTTGCAGTTTACTGAGTCCTAATTCAGATGAGTCTTATCAGTGCATTCACTACCTTCTCTGTGATTTTTCTATGGGATTCAGCATAGCTAATATTTCTAGAGGGTCACTCAGGATACTAACTCCATTACCACACCATTAGAAAGCAAGCTCTTTTATCAGGATTGTACGGGCAACTCATATGTGCACTACACATTAGGGAATCTGCCTAACAGCTATGGATGTTTTATCTTCTCCCACAGAACAGATACATTTATAGATACAGTTCTGTCTGTAACATTTTTTTTGCTGGACCTATTAGCAAAGAACAAAGGGTAGGAACAAGGAGGTATCATTCATTACCTGATTCAAACAAAAGGTTTTCATTCACGATTTTATTATTCTTACTTACTATCTTCATTTTAGGATTGTTGCCTATGCTAGGCACTCCATTAAAGTGGTGATAAAATTTTTCAAGATGTTACACATTAATTTGAATATTTAGTACCTTAAGCAGCCTACCAAAGGAAAGGAGTTAGCTGAAGTAAGTTATATGAAGCTAACATAAACTTAGCCTACTTATGTTGTGATACATCCTTTTAATTATGTAATCACATATATAGTACTTACAAAGAGCTTGCAATGGAAGCCACTGTTTATCAAAAGCAAGTACTATGTGCCTTGTATTTTGCAAATATCACCTTATTGAATTCTCAAAATACAATGAAGGATCACCAATATTACTTTCAGTTGATATATTAGGAAACACAAACTTAGAAAGGTTAAGCCCCCTTCCTCACCCCGTACCCCAGACAAATAGCTATCAGAATCTGAAATCAGGTCTATCTGACTCCAAAGTCTATACTTTCTTCATTACATGCCCCAGTGTTAAACATCACCAAGGAAAAAATTTACCCACAGTGTGACCACAATTATGTACAAAATACGTAGAGAAAATACTGAAATAACATATGTTTAACTTGTAAATAAAATAACATTTACAATAACATGTGAATAAAATAACTCCGAAATGTCTGCAACAGTAGTAATCTTTGAATATGAGATCTAATACTGTCCATTGTTTTGCTCCTTTATAATAATCTTTATTTCTCAAATTATCTACTATTAACTCAATACTAATCATTATTTCAGAAAGAAAAAATCACATTTTAATACACCAAAATCCAAGGAGGCTGAACTGTATCATATGATTATTATCTAACACTCACAGTAGCTTAATTACAGTGAGGAATAGACACAACTCTACCTAGCCAAATGATATAGCATTAAAACAAGGTTTTTTTATTGCTAACTCTTCAAATCACTGTAGACTAACGCTCTCTTCAACTGGGAATGTTTTAAAGTTACAAGAAGACCTATTTCTCCCGACAAGTTATTTCAAGGACTGTCCTACGAATAGAATGCTTTACTATTCCATCTCTGTGTAGGAGAGTATAGGCAGTAAAGGCTACCTGTGCGTGCTTATGAGTTTGTTAGAAAATTCATGGCAAATTGAGCATGGTTTAGGTTTCACTGCCTGGGAAATGGGGAGATAGCCTAAGAAAAGGGCAGGTAAACATTCAAAGAGGAGGGGAACAAATGGTATAAAAATTAATAGAATGTATCCTGCCATTTTTAGCCCACACAGACTTCTGTCCATTTTTCTTTCTCTCCTCCTTTCTATCTACACCAAAACCTAGAAATCACATAGTGGATATAAGAGGAAAATATGACTGTCATTTATTTTAGACTAAAAAATAGAGTGGAAAACCCTACGTAAGACACCCGTTGTTTCTGGCTCTGCGATTGGAAGAGTTCATGATTTAGAAGCCAGAGATTTGGCTGTCTTTGAGGGGAATGTGCAGAGGGAAGGGAGAAAGTTTCTTCTTCACTCTTTATTGTTTTCTTTCCTAAGGAGAACCAAACAATTTGCACCTCAAAAGATTAACTTCTCACCAAAATAACATGTATTCTAATTCTAAGACTAAATATTCATTTGTTACAAACAAAAAAACAAATTTAAAAAACATCTATAACCTCAGCCTACAGATATTACCACTATTAACCATTTAGTATTTTACTTTCCATTTCAACTGTGTCAATGAACATGAAAAAATAAGTCTAGAGAGATGTGAGGAATTCACTCATTTCAAACAAAGAGTGTTTCTCAAAGTCACTGCAAAAAGAGGTGTTTTTGTTCCTTAAAGAAGTCTACATGGTTAAGATCCTTTCACTTTTGACCTGCGAGTGGTGATAAAAAGCTTCCAGAAAACTCATCTCAGTAAATTAATTATGAAATGGTACCAGTTTGAAGCAGTCACTGAATAATATAAGGTCATAAATCAGGAATCCAGAAGAAACAATGAATAGCAACTTTATCTAGCACTGGCTCTCCAAGGTAACAGTCCTATCCTGTACCCAGAGTGGCTCTTCTGGAGAAGGTGGCTGGTTTGACCTATGACTGATGAGTGTTTTATGTTGCAGGGCCTGGGAGAGAAGCTGGATCGAGCCCCAGGAGACCGAAGTATCTGAAACAGAAGGGAAGACTGTGAACCTACGTTGTAACTATGGTACGTCATCTGGGAGCTATCTTGATCTCTACCGGTTTCAACAGTATCCAAACCAGGCACCAGAATACATTCTCTACAGAGGATGGGGATACTCTGGAAAAGGAGATGCCGATTTTGCCATAGGAAAGTATTATTCAAAGAGTACAGCAAATGCAACAAATTTGTACATCAGAAATCTGGTTCCTGAAGTCACTGCCTTATATTAATGAGTGCTGAGAGGCACAAACAGAACACTTCCCAGGGTTGTCATACAAAAATGCCAGTGCACAGGAGGAAGGAGAACATTTGTTGTAACCACACAGATTTTTTTTTCTTGCAAAGACATCATAGTAAGTGGGAAACACTGGATTAGGAGAATTCTGCTTTAATAATAGCTACATATAATAATTGTAGGCAAATAGCTTAAGCTTTTAGAGTTTCCATTTTTTTAATGAGATAGCAACTCTAATTTGCAAGCTTTTATGAGACATGGCTTTAACACTTAGGTTAAATGCCTAGCATATCCTACATGTTCAGCAAATGGCAGCTATCTTTTCTTACTCTCTCTCTCTCTCTAACTACTTTGGCCTCAAAGGAACCTTCTCTCACCATCTGAAAAACATACATTCAAAACCTAGATAGAGAAGGCTTCTTTGCCCAGGGATTATTGGTCATTGTTCCAGGCTTTTAAAAGTGCATGCTTAGCTGGACATCATGGCTCATGCCTGTAATCCCAGCACTCTACTAAAAATACAAAAAAAATAGCTGGGCATGGTGCACATGCCACCATGTAGCTACTTGGGAGGCTGAGGCAGGAGAATCACTTGAACTGGGGAGGCAGAAGTTGCAGTGAGCCAAGATCCCACCACTGTACTCCAGCAACAGAGCAGGACTCTGTCTCAAAAAAAAAAAAAAATGCGTGCTCAGCAAATGCAGCAATTAGAGGGAAAAAGGGCCCTGAGACACTAGCTCCTGAGTTCATAGCCCTGGACAGTTGGGAATTTGTCATGATCTGAACAAGAACAGAAAAGGGTCCCTCCAAGACTAAGGAGAAGAGAAAGACATTTAGCATTAGGTGGGTGGTGGGAGAGAAGAGAGAATTATTGGGAAGACTACAGCTATGGTCCTGTGTCAGCTCTGACTCCCTAGATGGAGCTGAGAGGCCAAGCAAGGCAGTGGGTCCTCAGCCTACCTGGCAGAGCAGGAGGGCACCTGCCACCTACTGCACTCGTTTAAACCACACTCCTAACAGAATCCTATCATTTAATCTGGATCTGAGCAAAGCCTAGCATCTTTGTTTGGACTGGTGATAGATGAAAGGTAAAAGAGGAAGGAAGATTTAGAGTCTTATTCCATACAACTCCACCTCTGTGGATTTGTAGGGTGCCACCCCGACAGCTTCTCTCACAGGTTGTTGAGTGCCTATGGCTTTTCCAGGCACAGGGTGCAAGCTGCCAGTGAATCTACTATTCTGGGGTCTAGAGGACAGTGACCCCTTTCCCACAGCTCTACTAAGCAGTGCTCCAGTAAGAATTCTGTTTGGGGCCTCCAACTCCTATTTCTCCTCCACACTGTCCTAGTAGAGGTTATTTGTGGGGGCTCTGCCCCTGCAGCAGTCTTCTGCCTTGCCACCCAGGCTTTCTCATACATCCTTTGAATCTAAGTGGAGGCTGCCAAGCCTCTTTCACTCTTTCATTGTGTGTTCCTACAGGCTTAACACCACATGGAAACTGTGGTGATATGGCTTGAACCCTCCAAAGTGGCAGCCTGAGATGTACCTGGACCCCTTTAATTCATGAGCGGCCTAGATGTGGAGAAGAGTGTCTTGAGGCTGTGCAGGGCAGCAGAGTCCTGGGCCTGACCATTCTTTCCTCCTAGGCCTCAAGGCCTGTGATGAGAGGGGCTGCTGCAAAGGTCTCTGAAATGCCTTTGAAGCTTTTTCCCCATTGTCTTGACTATTAGTATATGGTTCTCTTTTAGTTATGCAAATATCTCAAGCAAAAGGTTGCTTCAGTGGCTTGCTTGAATTCCTTTCCTGAAAAGTCTTTTTCTTTTTCTGCCACATGGCTAGACTGCAAATTTTCCAAACTTTTACACTTTACGTTTTTAAATATAAATTCTAGCTTTAAGTCATTTCTTTGCTACTGCATCTGAGTATAGGTTATTAGAAGCAGCCAGGTCACATCTTGAATGCTTTGCTGTTTAGAAAATGCTTCCACCAGATGACCTAAATTATCACTCTGAAGTTTAAACTTCCACAGATCCCTAGGGCAGGGGCACAGTGCAGCCAAGTTTGTTACTAAGGAATAGCATGAGTGACCTTTGCTTCAATTCCCAGGAAATTCCTCATTTCCATCTGAAACTTCATCAGTCTGGCCTTCATTGCCCATATCACTATCAGCATTTTGGTCACAATCGTTTAACCAGTCTCTAAGAGGTTCCAAATATTTGCTCATCTTCCTGTCTTCTGAGTCCTCCAAACTTCTCCAACCTCTCCCTATTACCCAGTACCAAAACTGCTTCCACATTTTCAGGTATCTTTATAGCAATGACCCACTCTCAGTTCCAGTTTGCTCAGCAGTCTTCTGCCTTGACACCCAGGCTTTCTCATACATCCTTTGCATATAGGTGGAGGCTGCTAAGCCTCTTTCATTCTTGCATTGCATGTGCCTACAGGCTTATGGGAAACTTGCTCATGAATACATAAAATATGTAATCTTCCTCATCATTAGGCCATTCATGCACCACTATAAAGAATTACCTGAAACTGGGTAATTTATAAAGAAAAAAACTTTTAATTGGTTCATGGCTCTGCAGGCTTTACAGGAAGCATGGTACTGGCATCTGGTTGGCTTCTGGGGAGGCCTAAGGAAGTTTTCAATCATGACAGAAGGCAAAAGGGGAGCAGGCATGTCACATGGCCGGAGTAGGAGGAAGACAGAGAGAGTGAAGGGGAGGAGCCACACCCTTTTAAATGACCAGGTCTTGTGAGAACTCACTCACTATTGCAAAGGCAGCACCAAGTCATGAGGGATCTGCCCTGTGATCCAAACATTTCCCCTCAGGCCCTACCTCCACCACTGGGGATTATAATTCAACATAAGATGTGGGTGGAGACAAATATATAAACAATACCAAAATAATTTCTTTTACAAACAAGTGAAAAATAGTTCTTTTAAAGAATAATTTTTAAAGATATGTTTAAAACTAACTTTTAAAAACAATGAACTATGGAAAACTTGTTCACCAATACATAAAATAAAATATGTAGAAGCAGCGCAGCCCAGCCAGAATTAAAAGCACAGGGTTTTACCTCCAAGCTCTCTCTCTGCTTTTCCCCCCCTTCTCTATCCTTCGGTTGTCATCTCTGGGACCAAAACCTGTGGGAGCCTGTGGGGTGGAAAGGACACTGCTTTCTGACACCAGAGCTACAGTGATGAAATGACCAACCCTCCCTCCCCACGTGGAGCCTACATTCTAGTCTGAATTCATCTT